TGGATAAACAATGCTAGCTTAAGTCTGTTTAGATGCAAACATGTTCCATTTCTTCAGTGTGTGCTTAGGAGGGCAAAAAGCCACTGATGGCTTTGAAGAAGCCCAGATAAAAGAAGGGGTGAGATTTGCCAAGGATTTGGATAGGAACTGTGTCAGAACTCTTGCCAGCTGGGCTCTGCACAAGTGCTATGTCATAATGACCTTTTCTTTATAATGGACAGTAAGCATCGAGTATAACTATGCAGTAACACAAGGGGCAGAATTTATTTTCTCGTGGAAGACAGGACCCATTACTCAGCCCCATCCAATGATCCAGCACCATGGACAGCTCAACGTGTAAGTGTGGCTGAGAGCTCTCTCTACTAAGAAGGGCCAGCACCTTGGCAGCTTGGAACTCATGGGGGTGACTGAAAAAGGATGAAAGCTGCCCTGGCTTTGGTCCGTGGGAGACCTGGTCTCAAATGGAGCTTCTTGCACTTGACATGAGCTGCCCTCATCCCGATAGGCCTCATTGAGACTTTGTTTTTAATGTTTTTTAAAACTTTGCCAGTCTTAAGGGGCCGGTATTATGATGTGGGTGAATATATATATGTAAAATATCATAGAATTGTGCACTTTCCATCTCTGCTTGTTACTACATTTATGTTAGGTTGCAACACATTTATAAATATCAATGCTAAGGGATGACATGGGTTCAAGAAAATAGGCACTATTATCACTTTCCCTCTCATCCCCCTAGGTAATACCCTCATATCTCCAGAAATCAGAGCTGGAAACTCCAGTAGTACAATTTATAAAATCAATTTTCTAGACCCTTCTGTATTCCTACAGATGATTTGATTCTACTCCCCTTCACATCCCAGTTTCTGTATCTCCCACAGGTGGATAATAAAGACTACTTTGGAGAGCTTTTGGAGGAACGAGATGAGCAGCGCTGATAGAGTTTCTGCCAAAGGAGGCATTAGGATCATGCTGGGGAAGGTGAGCTTGCTTGGAATTACCAGATAGCTATCCACCTGGCTTCAAATGCTGGATACTCCCAGGATTCCTGCTGAGCCCCAGAGATGGAGGACTTTCAAGTATTAACATCTCCAAGTGGGAAAGTCACTTTTGGCTGGAACAGAGGATATAATGTACTCCCTCTTCCATTCACCTCACTGAGAGTAGCTAAATTCACCTATTTAGTTTTCTATATTTTCTTGCCTTGCCATATTCCAGCTTCTGAAGTTTCTTTCTCTACAAACTGTTTTGATAATAAGAGTAATAACAGCTACCATTTTTTGGGCTATAACAATGTTTTAGACACTCTACTAAGCATTTCATACACATTATAACATTCAATCTCATAATAATCCTTATTTTACAGATAGATGAGAAAAATGAGACTCAGGTAGCTAACTTGACTCTTCTACGTTTCATAGTAACTAAGCAACAAAATTTAGATCCAAACCAAAGCCTACTTCATTTGAAAGGACGCATTCCTACCAAGATATTATGGCATGTAAGGGATGGAGATTCCATTATGCCTAGAGACTAAGATACTGTGGACAAGGCCTTCCCAATGCTGTCTTCTAAGCTTGCTCCACCACATCTCCAGGATGTGTACACTCCGTAGTTATTTCTCTTTTTCTTTTGTATTTATTATATTTTCTTATGTTCTGTAAGCTTGATGCTCTGGCATCTGAGCCTCCTGACTGGGGAGAGCCCTCCCCTCCAGGGATAGTCATATCTTAGAGAAAGCAAAAGACTTGCCCAGGGAGCATCTCTTTCATATGAATATTAACCAATCCAGAACCTACACTCCAGTCATCTCCTCTATACAGCTTATACACATTGGGAAGGAATATTGTCTTCCTTCATCACCCGAGAGCCAGACACCAGGCAATCAGGAGCAGTTCTGAAACCCTAGAGCCCACTAAAGTGATTCAAATTAGCCAATCTCAAATCTGTCTACCCTGCTTACATTGCCTCACCCATTTCTCCCTGCAATACCATAAGACAGGCTCTTTCCCATGCTTTCCACTTGGTCCCTCTGCCTGCTGGTAGATATGGGTGCTTTCCCACATGGTCTGCACGGTGTGCTGTACATTGTGTATCTGAGATCTGTGAGTATGAAAACTGCTTGTTTCACAACAGTTCTTTCTGCATCTGCAGACAAATCCTGGGTACATTTTAAAACTTCATGGGTACATTTCAAAACATCTTTGATCGCTATGCATCATCTGCCTTAGTTTTCTTTGATTCAGTATCTGTTGTGTGCTTAGAGATCTACTAGAAGGATCCTATAGAACAATGAAAACTCAGTTTTAATTCAGGCAACATTCATCTACTGGACACATATTTGCTGAATATCCATTATGAACCAGGCACTGTGCTTATCAATGGGAATATAATATTTCTCCCCAAAGACATAATTCCTGCCCTCACAGAGATTCCAGTCTAGAGGCAGAAACAGACAATTTCACAGGCTATTACAAAATTTTAAGCTTAAGACACTGGGCACACTGAGAAAGGGCACCTTTTAATTCACCACACTTTGGTCTATCCTTCCAAATCATCAAGATGATTTGTAGCCGTCTTAAGTAATGCCTTGATTTTGCTATTTCCCAACTGTTCGCCATTTCTCAGCCACATGCTATCTGAAAATTTGATGAACATGATAAAAGGCGGGAGTAGTAGTCTTCAGAATACTCCTGTGAGGTAGGTACTACTATTATCCACATTTTATAGATGCAGAGACAGAGGCTCAGAGAGGTGAATTCACTTTGCTATCAAAGAGGCAGACAATGGAGCAAGCATTTGGATTAATGTTTGTATTATTCCAAAGCCTGTGCTCTTAGCCATTAAACTGTTTCACCTTGAGCAAGTTATTTTCTCAGGGCTTCCATTTCTACATGTATGAAAATAAATATGTAAAACTTGAACACCTTTAAGTCTTAACATTCTACAATTAATGAGTAGTGACAGCTGAGAGATGAAGGGTAGGGACATGCAATTCTTCCAGCTGCATAATCCATGAAACTATTTGCTTCTGTAAATTTTGTTCCTCCTGCTTTCCTACACCATTCCCTGCCATCTCCCCCACCACATATTTACCTGTCTTATGTGCACATACGGCTCATTAAAGATGAGCTGAAGTCTTGTATGCACATAGGTCTGAAAATCACATGAACGTATGTGAAATAAGAAATATAAGTTCTGAATGTATATGAACTTATCTGCAGTCCCAGTGAAAAACAAGCAGGGGCTTCTGCACTATGCTGAAGTTGGAACAATCAGGATGCATTAATAGGAGTTTGAGTGTTTCAGAGAATGGGAGTAAAATTCCACTTTGCTCTGGTCAAAATATACTAAAAGGATGGTGCTAAGTTCTGAACACCGAGACTTAAACCCTGGAGATAAAATCGAATTTCACTGAAGGAAGACTGGCAAATAGAGGGTAAGGATCTCAAAAACATTCAATACATCTCAAAATGCAAAAATATTTTTAAGAATTAATGGTACTAATATGGTGCTACAAGTCAGAAAGTTTATTGCCTCTACAGAACACTAACTGGAAGGAGGCACGAGGAAACCTTATGAGGTGCTGGAAATATTCTATGATTTTATCTGTGTAGATTCATATATAATCCTGTTACATGTCCTTATCACAAAAATATAGAGTGAGAAGAAACTTTTAGAGGTGATGGCTATGTTTATGGCATTCCTTATGGTGTTGATTTCATGGGTATTTACTTATCTTCAAACTCATCAAGACGTATACATTTGAAAAAGTGTAAAATGTATACAATTTGTAAAGTGTAAAAAGTTCTAAAACTGAAAATTTATTAAGTTGCACAGTTGCACAGTTAAGGCATGCCTTCTTTATTATAATTATGCCAAACTTCAATACATCTAAAGACGGTGACGCCATGTGAGAAGTGTTTGAGAAACAGACGCCAACATATCCTGGAATGTGTAAACTGGGACAACTTTTCTGGAGGGCACTTTAGCAATAAATAGCAACCACCTTAATCAGGGCCTTGGACCATGCTTTGCTAATGACTAAGGTGGCTACAGTGTCTCATTAATTCAATTTAATTGGGTGAAAAGTAAATGGTACAATATAAGATACTTGTAAAGTATATTTACAGGGAAAGAGAATATAAATATTATCCAGGACATTCAGGAAATTCCATTAAAACTCATACAGTCTTTCTTGTCATATGATTTTAATTAGCAAATACTCTTTGGGGGACATTTTTATTTTGAAATGGATCCACAATCAAAAAAACCAGTAGGTTCTCTGAAGTAGCTCAATCTTTCTGCATTCACATTTGAGCTCTTCCTTTATTTTTTCAACTTGATTGTTGCTCATAGGTTAAAAGCAGTCTTTACTAGATAAAGAAAATGTGGTACATACACACCATGGAAAACTATGCAGCCATAAAAAGGAATGAGTTCATGTCCTTTACAGGGACATGGGTGAAACTGGAAACCATCATCCTCAGCAAACTCACACAGGAACAGGAAACCAAACACCACATGTTCTCACTCATAAGTAGAAGTTGAACAATGAGAACACATGGACACAGGGAGGGGAACATCACACACTGGGGCCTGTTAGGGGGTGGCGGGTAAAGGGGATGGAGAGCATTAGGACAAATACCTAATGCATGTGGGGCTTAAAACCTAGATTACAGGTTGATGGGTGCAGCAAATCACCATGGCCCATGTATACCTATGTAACAAACCTGCACGTTCAGCTCATGTATCCCCGAACTTAAAGTAAAAGAAAAAAGAGAAAGAAAAAAAAATTAAAAAGTAAAAGTAGTCCTTAATTCAAATAATCCAGACTCCAAATGATAAGATCCTCTTCCAAGATATTTAGATGCTCCTTTTTTCCCCCTATAATACATATAATAATAATTCTAACATTGGGCCATATGTAGAAACATTTGACCAGCCAGGGGTGCAAGGTGCTGAGTGGGTGTGGAGCATCTGCAATGCTCGGCTCTTACCATCTGCTATGAAGTGCTCGGGCACATGCAGAGTCACCTTCACAGTGAGTGGACAAGACATCTGGCTGCCACACACCATGGCCAGGATGCAGGAGCTCACAGCAATCAGTGTCAGGGCTGTCTTGTTCACTGGGCTTTTCAGCAAACCTGGTAACACAAACACACACAAAGACACAAAATTCCATGAGGTAAGGAAATGGGAGTGGCATCAATGGGAATTCTATTATTTTCCAGTTGGGAATCTAAAAAAAGAAAAGAAAAGAAAAAAAAAATCATGTTTTCTAACCTTTGTGCCTGCTATGACACCTCAGTGGGCCCTCTTTGGGCCTTGGTTTAACACTCTGCAAATGAGCTTCTTATGATTCCTTTGGGTAAACATAAAAGAAACAGGCTTCCTGAAACTCATGGCAATTTTTACTCCTCCCTTCCCAATTTGGTTGGTCATTCTTGATTACAATTAGATGATATTAAGCCCTCCATTCTCCTTAGAGGCAAGTGAGAAGATACCTTGCTGTTAAATTCAGTAGAGCCTAGTGAAATAAGCATGGATTTTGGAGTTAGATCATTCTGGGTTCAAATTTGGGCTTTGGCCCTCATTGATTGTGTGATCTCCATTTTCCAAACCTAGTTTCTTACTTTCTTTTTCTTTTTTGTTTGAGGCGGAGTCTCGCTTTGTCACCCAGGCTAGACTGCAGTGGCGCGATCTCGGCTCACTGCAACCTCGGCCACACGGGTTCAAGTGATTCTCCTGCTTCAGCCTCCTGAGTAGCTGGGATTACAGGCACCCAGCACCATGTCCAGTTAATTTTTGTGTTTTTAGTAGAGACGGGGTTTCACCATGTTGGCCAGGCTGGTCTGGAAGTCCTGACCTCAGGTCATCCACCTGCCTCAACCTCCCGAAGTGCTAGGATTACAGGCATGAGCCAGCACGCCTGGCCACCACTTCAGTTTCTTTATACGTAACATGAAGATAATAAATATCTCACAGGGTTCTTGTGACAATTACACAGCATGATTTGTATATAATGCCTGTCATTTAGAAGAGTTTCATGGTTAGAAGCTGATCAGCTCAAATGAATTTCACAAGCCTTTACTGAGCAACTACCATGTGAGACACATACAGAGCAGAAGAATAATCTCTCCTCGTCAGGAGTTTACAGGCTAGGGGGAAAAGTCTAGCTTATCCAAAGCGAATTAGATTCTAAGACAAATTGTGTCACGACCTAGAAGAGAGGGCAGAGAGTCGGGAGGGTGGCTTTGCCTCTGAAAATTAAAGACAATTTTATGGATATAATAGGAAAAGTAGATTGGATCTGCACAGCTAGAGGACACTGGGCCAACAAAGACATTCTATGGAGGCTGTCTTGAGTCCCCGTTTGTTTCTCATTCTTTAGGCTTTGTTCTTCAAGGTTTTGCTCACCAGTTTTAGAGCAATGTCTCCCCAATGTTTTTTACTGCTAGGCTCTTTTTTTAAGCAAACCTTGTCTCTCATCTCCTGGATATCTTTCTGTGGTTATCCCATTAGCATGTCAAATATATTAATAACAGGTTCAAAACAGGGTACATTATATTCTCTTTAAAGCCTCCCCCTCTTGGGATCCTCAGCTTATTGAAAGCATTGCCATTTAGTCTGGCCAGAAACCAAGATGTCACCTTTGAGTTTCTGTCTTCCTCCTTTACAGCATCTGAACAGTTGTGTAGTCCTATTTATTCTATGTCCTTAGCATATTCACCTCATTCCCTTCATCTCTTCTATTGTCTGTTTGCTTGTGGGATAAGGGAGGTGCATGCATATCTGTTCACTGCACTCCCTGCTGAAACCTTTCAAGCTGTTTCACGGTATCTGGTCACAGGATGTGATCCACATTCATTAGACTGGCACCCAAGGCCTTTCATGAAGACTCCCAACACTCATACCTCCTGTGCTCTCTCCCACCTGGCCCAAAGACTAGCAGAGCTGAATTACTGCAGTGTTCCTACCATTAACACTCTTCATCATGTTAACATTAGTGTAGGTGTTGTTCCTTTTGGAAAGAAATCCATTTGTTTCCTTGTCACCACGTCACTCTTTGAGACTCACCACATATAAAGATTTCATATGCTCTCGGTAGATAAACTACCCATATTCATTGTATTTCCCCTCATACCTTATTCCAAACACTAGAGTCTAGTAAATAGCCAACTCCTTGAAGGCAAGCAGCATCTTTTGCTCACCATTATGTCCCAATGAATAGCACAGTGACTGGCCCATTGCAGAATCTCAGTAAGTGCATGATGACTCCCATAAATGACAGTAACAATGTTAACAACCAACATAACATAGATGCTGACCAATCAAAAAGCATGCCAGCCAACATCCAGCACTGGCCACACAACAGAACATCGGCTATTGCAACACTGGATTACAACAGAACAAGAACCCTTACAATAGCCCGTTGGGGTATTGCCTGTATGGAAATGTATTTTTCTTAATAAACAGGGACCTGCTTGAGGGAGAAGATCCCACCTTCGTCATCTTTGTGTCTCTTATGCTAAAATCACCACCTGGAACCCAGAAGTTACTTAATTTAAGAATAAGATCCTTGTCTTTTTTCTCAGTCCTAGGACAATACATGGCTTATGGTAGGCACTATCCATGAGATTGTGGTTATTGTAGTTATAGAATAGATGTTAAATAGAAGAGTAAATTAAATTAAATAAAAAGATGATTCCAGTGTCCAAATATGGGGAATCTCTAAAACCTAAAATAACTACAGAGAAAAAGGAACATGTTTTATCTCTTATTTGAGTGCCACAAGAAGCTGTTTCATACATATTTACAATAGATATTTATAAATATAAATAGATAAAATATTTATAGTATAAATATTTTAGCAACTAAATAGCATAAACAATCTAACATCAACATTATCTCCTAAAAAGAATACGGACTAAGGGTTGGCACCTTGCATAGACCTCATCTTAAAAAGTCAACCTATTACCCCAGCCTAATCATTTAGCAAAACCCCTAAAATAACACTTAACAGCAGCACTGGAGTTGTTTTATTTGTTTGTTTGTTTTGAGACAAAGTTTCCCTTTGTTGCCCAGGCTGGAGTGCAGAGGCGCAATCTCAGCTCACTGCAACCTCCGCCTCCTGGGTTCAAGTGATTCTCCTGCCTCAGCCTCCCAAGTAGCTGGGGTTACAGGCACACGCCACCACACCCAGCTAATTTTTGTATTTTTAGTAGAGACAGGGTTTCACCATGTTGGCCAGGCTGGTCTTGAACTCCTGACCTCAGGTGATCCACCGACCTCAGCCTCCTAAAATGCTGGGATTATAGGCATGAGCCACCATGCCTGGCCAGCACTGAGTTTTTTATCTAGATTTTATGGAGTCTATTCTGGGGAAAAAATATGTAACGACGAGTCTAGTACAAATAAATTCTTGGGAAGACGAGACAGGTCCAGAGGAAGAGATGTGAAAGGTAGTGAGAGGCCCCTGGCATCAGGGAACAGACACTCTGGACAGTGAGTCATGGATAACAGCACCCTGTGGATCCCTTAGAGGGCATATCTCATTCCTGGCCCACACAGCAGCACCTGGCCTTTGTGGCCAAGACCTTTCTTTCACTAATTAACAAACTACCAGAAATACACTACCCAGACTCCACAGGGCTAATTTTTGGTCTGGGAAAAGAAGGCTGAGGGGCACAGGTGGAATTGCTCATACTCTCTCCCTGGGTCCTGCTGGACTAAATTGTGTCTCCTATGTCATTTAAAACATCACAGTAACCCAGGGTCTTTAAGAGTAAACATGATGGCTGGGTGCGGTGGCTCATGCCTGTAATCCCAGCACTTTGGGAAGCCAAGGCAGGCAGATCACCTGAGATCAGGAGCTCAAGACCAGCCTGACCAACATGGCGAAACACTGTCTCTACTAAAAATACAAAAATGAGCCAGGCATGATGGCAGGTGCCTGTAGTCCCAGCTACTCCGGAGGCTGAGGCATGAGAATCGCTTGAACCCGGGAGGTGGAGGTTGTAGTGAGCTGAGATCACACCATTGCACTCCAGCCTGGGCCACAGAGCAAGACTCTGTTTCAGAAAAAAAAAAAAAAAAAAGAGTCAACATGGGAAGTGAATTCACATTAGTTTATTGGCTCTTAGTTTTCTCACGTAGAAAATAGTAACATGACTTAGCCATCAGGGGTGTTGTAGGAACTAAATGAGTCAATACATGTCTAATGCCTAGCAAAGTTTTTGGCACATAGTAGGCCCTTGGTAAATAATTTCCAAAAGAAACAGTGGCATTTGTCTCATCCCTGGTGACAGAAACTAGGACTCATCTATTTGTCCAATATATTCTCAGAACATATTAGGAATTCAATTATTCTTATAGAAGCAGAAGACAGAGTAAAAAGTGAAGAGAAGGACATAAGAAGGAGAAAGTGGGAGTTGGGATGAGAATGAACAGCATTGTGGGAACCCATTTACTCGGAGAATGCCTGAATCGCCACAGTTGTTTCTGAAGTCCAGGAGGATGAAAGCATGCAGGTCAAGCCTTCACTAAGCCAGATGCCCATGGAGCAGCCAGGAGGTCCGGGGAGTTGCCATGGCAACCAGACCTGGCAGAAACTTCACAGTCGGACTCAAACCAAGGTAACTTCCTAAGAGTTCCTTGCTCAGGGAGGTGAGCATAGCGTTTAGCTCTGAGTAAGGATTGTAGACAGTCATGAGGTGGAAACTATCTCTCCCATAATACTCACCCCCTCCCCAAGCAGGCTCCTTACTGCACTGCTGTTGTAAGATGCAGAGACAAAAAAGGCAACCTCCACTTGCTGAGCGATTGCTATGATCCAGGCACTGTGCCTAGCACTTATCCTTCTCTCCATCCCTCCATTGATTTACCAATTCAGCTGATTTTTATTGAACATCCTGTCTCTTGAGGCACACTGGTCTGGGCATGGGGAAAATACTACTAAACAAAACAGCCAAAGAACTTGAAGCTTACATGTTAGTGGCAAAGAATTACCTCATTGAATCCTCTCAGCAAAATGTCTCCATCATTTCTATTTTACAGAGAACAGAAGTATGGAGCAATTAAATGACTTGTGTAAGGATCACCCAATTTTGTATGTTACAGAGACTGGGTGAGAACTAGTCCTGTT